TAAAAAATATTTATTTATTCCGTTTTGACAGACTGGAATGAATGAATGAATGAATGAATGAATGAATGAAAAAAAATATTTATTTATTTATTTATTCCGTTCTGACAGACTGAAATTAATGAATGAAAAATAGTTATTTATTTATTTATTTCCGTTCTGACAGACTGAAATGAATGAATGATAAATAAATAAATTTGATCTTGTTTTAAAAAAACACCACATTTATTCATTCATTCATTCATTTATTCCGTTTTGACAGACTGAAATGAATAAATTAATGAATGAATATTTATTTATTTATTTATTTATTTATTCGTTCTGACAGGCTGGAATGAATGAATTAATGAATGAATGATAAATAAATACATTTGATCCTGTTTTAAAAAAACACCACATTTATTCTTTCATTCATTCATTCATTCATGCATTTATTTATTTGTTTATTTATTTATCCATCTGTCCTTCCATCAATCCATTCATCCACTGGGAAAGACAGAAATTAATGAATGAATTAATTTAGTTATATTGAAAAAATATATAGATATACAGTGTTGTGTTTTTTTCCTAAGCTTTGCCAGGAGTTTAGAAGATTTCAGTCTTTTTAATTTCAAGTAGGTAGGAGATGTACTTCCATGATTACAACATAGCAAGAAACAGCCAGTGTGTGTGTGTGTGTGTGTGTGTGTGTGTGTGTGTGTGTGTGTGTGTGTGAATGAATGAATGTAAAAAATATTTATTTATTCCGTTTTGACAGACTGGAATGAATGAATGAATGAATGAATGAATGAATGAAAAAAAATATTTATTTATTTATTTATTCCGTTCTGACAGACTGAAATTAATGAATGAAAAATAGTTATTTATTTATTTATTTCCGTTCTGACAGACTGAAATGAATGAATGATAAATAAATAAATTTGATCTTGTTTTAAAAAAACACCACATTTATTCATTCATTCATTCATTTATTCCGTTTTGACAGACTGAAATGAATAAATTAATGAATGAATATTTATTTATTTATTTATTTATTTATTCGTTCTGACAGGCTGGAATGAATGAATTAATGAATGAATGATAAATAAATACATTTGATCCTGTTTTAAAAAAACACCACATTTATTCTTTCATTCATTCATTCATTCATGCATTTATTTATTTGTTTATTTATTTATCCATCTGTCCTTCCATCAATCCATTCATCCACTGGGAAAGACAGAAATTAATGAATGAATTAATTTAGTTATATTGAAAAAATATATAGATATACAGTGTTGTGTTTTTTTCATAAGCTTTGCCAGGAGTTTAGAAGATTTCAGTCTTTTTAATTTCAAGTAGATAGGAGATGTACTTCCATGATTACAACATAGCAAGAAACAGCCAGGGGTGCATTTCCCAAAAGCAACTATAGTTAGCTAACGATGGTTTTGGGAAATGCACCCCAGATCAGCTCAAACAATGGCGTGAGAGTTGGGGGCGGTGCTGTCTGTTTTCCCAACCAATGGCAAACAGGGAGAGAGAAAAAAAAATCATTATTTGTGCCTTTTTGTTTGTTGGCACAGGCATTACACACTTTCCTTTTCATTGAATGCTTTAAAATGCCACCATTTTGTTATTTGTTTCTCAGAGTTTGATTTCTCGTTTAAGCAGCATGTCTAATTTCGATCTGTTACAGCATGTGCAGCATTGTGTGTATAATCAATAACCAGTGGACTTTCATTGTCAAATGACTATAAAATCTGCTATAACACTCACAAATTTGTAACCTCCTGGGAGCAGCGCTATTAAAACAGGAGGCCTGACACATTACTTAAACTTCTCTCCATCCTCATTATACCATTGGCCTGCTTTAAAAAACATGGTTTTATTTTTGCAGTGGAAAACATTTTATACATAATGCAAAATATAGCCAGGAGACCCTCATTAGGAATGGCCACAGAGGACCTGCTAAGATAAAATTTAGCTGGAGGTCAAGCTGTAAACATGTGCACTGCTCCACAACTGGGGATTTATGCTAAATGAGGCTGTTTCATTAGATGTTAAAGTCAGCATGAAATCAAAATTGAATGTTTGCTTTTTTAACATGTTACTGGTCGTTTTCATCTAAATTCAGTATCTTGGTTGACATCATCAATCCATCTCATTTTTCCATTCCCATTCCCCAACTGTCAGTCTTACAAGACTTTTCATTATCCAATCAGTTCCTGATGGATGATATTAAGGCTGAATATTAAAATAGCTATTTTCACTAATCTACAATCCGTCAGCCGGATGTTTTACCTTTTGTTTTGCACTATAAATATCATCACTCTTTGCACTTAATACAAATAAGCTATTTATTGCTATTTTTACTTGGTGCAAACATCGATAACATTTTTACATTTTTTTTGAAAGAAATCTCTTATGCTCACCAGGGCTGCGTTTATTTGATAAAAAATACAGTAAAATATAGTAAAACTGTAAAATATTATTACAATTTAAAACAGCTGTTTGCTATTTAAATATGTTTTCAAATGTAATTTATTCATATGATGGCAAAGCTGAATTTTCAGCATCATTACTCCAGCCTTCAGTGTCACATGATCCTTCAGAAATCATTTTAATATGCTGATTTGCTGCTCAAGAAACATTTCTTATTATTATCAGTGTTGAATCTTTTTGTGGAAACCATGAAACATGTTTTTAGGATATTTTTTTACTCTTTAAATAACATTTAATAATGACCCACCCTACACTTTTGTTCTCATTGAATATCCATTTTTAGCAATTTTACTTATGTAATGTCACTTCCTGTTGAATTTAATTCGTTTTCTTGTAAATATGTGACACCTGCAGTATTATTTCTTACACATGGTCTGTATTTCTGCATTCAAATACAGCTTGCTGGAGTTCAGCGGAATTAAACAAGGCAGAATTTATGCATTTCCAACATCCAGGCTTGTTGCCAGTTATCCATAAAGTATTATGCAAATTAGCATCAATGTGATCCATCGACTACCAATAGGAGTGCAGACAGAGAGTGGCGCTCATGTGATCTGCCTCCTGATACAGTTGGATTTAATCCGTGCCAGTACAAACACAGGGACTACAATCTCGTTTCTATGCAAGGTGTCTGGTGTTTTGAAAGGCTCTTTGCTGCGATTTTTCTCGGGTCTATCTCTCGGTTGTGTCAGTGCGCACACAGAGGCTGATGTACGATCCTGGTCTCTTTCCTTGACTAATAAATGTCACATTAGAAATTTTACTTCTGTAATTTCATTTCATGTTGAATTTAATTTGTTTTCATGCAACAAAAAAAAGTGACACCTATAATAAGCGCACAATGTGATGCCATTTCTTAAACGTGGTCTGTATTTCTGCATTCAAATACAGCTTGCTGGAGTTCAGCGGAATTAAACAAGGCAGAATTTATGCATTTCCAACATCCAGGCTTGTTGCCAGTTATCCATAAAGTATTATGCAAATTAGCATCAATGTGATCCATCGACTACCAATAGGAGTGCAGACAGAGAGTGGCGCTCATGTGATCTGCCTCCTGATACAGTTGGATTTAATCCGTGCCAGTACAAACACAGGGACTACAATCTCGTTTCTATGCAAGGTGTCTGGTGTTTTGAAAGGCTCTTTGCTGCGATTTTTCTCAGGTCTATCTCTCGGTTGTGTCAGTGCGCACACAGAGGCTGATGTACGATCCCGGTCTCTTTCCTAATCTCCTCGTAGTGCAGGCCCAGCATGTGGAGTAATGTAGAAATGCTGATATACTCCTCTGGCCGAACAACAAAGGCGAATTCCATCATTACCGCAGGTCTGCTCTGCAGCCCCTACCCTCCAACCCAGCCAACCTGACCTGGTAATTCCCTAATGGAAACTAGTCGAACGCTGCAGATAGCATCACTCTGCTGGGCTGTGATAACACACGACTCCCTCTCCTTTAGGAGGCACAACTACATCAGAGAGAGAGAGAGAGCCTTGCAGGATGTTACATATTAATGTTAGCCAGCACTTCGTACTGATAAGCAGCAAGGATATACACAGGTATAAACACACAGACATATTTCTGAACAGTGCACTGCATGGGCTTCAACAATCTTTGGCATTGCATTCAGGACAAAAACCTTTGGACTGTCATTTTTTTCCCGAGAATCTGACAGTGATTGAATTGTTCTGCTTTGTTTCCTACAGTACTAAGAATTTCGCTTCTTATTATCAATATTGATTTTTTTGTT